CACAGGAGAGAGTTCTTTGTTGTTAAAAGGGGGACATATCGTTTTTAAGAGTAAACAAAATTGTTTTCTATCACTTATGTTAGGAATTGATAAAAGCCTACACACTGGGTTGGTGAGGCAAGAATTTTCTTTACTTACAGAAGAATGTTCTAATCCATTATTGACTCCTCATAATGAGATTAAATTTGTATGTCACTGGCTGCTCATAATATGTCCTGGCCGGTTTGGCTCAGTGGATAGAGCGTTGGCCTGTGGACTTAAGGGTCCCAGGTTCTATTCTGGTCAAGGGCATGTATCGTGGTTGCAGGCACATCCCCAGTAGGGTGTATGCAGGAGGCAGCTGATGGATGTTTCTCTCTCATGGATGTTTCTAACTTTCTATCCCTCTCCCTTCCTCTCTGTAAAACAATCAATAAAATATATATTTTTTAAAATTCATATTTAAGCCATGTGTTTAAGTTGATAATAGTTTAAGAATTGTTTTTTTAAATGACAGACTGTTCTGATAGCAAATTTAGCTGAAAAAGAAAAACAAAGATCATACATATGTAATTTATGTGATAATCTTCAGTATATGGAGAGAGTGACCATGTCTCACTTAGTCAAAAGGCAAACATAATGGTGTTGAACAAGGTCCCTTTATCCAAATATTTGCAAAAACTCTTAATCTAGAACTATTATCAACTTCCAAAAATGTTTAGGAAGAGAGGAAGAGAGGGACAGAGGGAAGGAGGGAGAGAGGGAGGGAAGGAGGGAGGGAGAGAGAGAAAGAGAGATCAATGATGAGAGAAAATCATTGATTGGCTGCCTCTTGCATACCCCACACTGGGGAATGAGCCTGCAAACCCAGGCATGTACCCTGACCAGGAATCGAACCGTGACTTCCTGGTTCATAGGTCGATGCTCAACCACTGAGCCATGCTAGCTGGGCTAATCCATTTTTCTTTATTATTTTATGGCACGTATTTTAAAATTAGCTTTAATATTACTTATTATAGAATATATGCTTATTATTAAAAAGTTCAAACATTATAGAAAGTTAACTTCAAAAACAGAAATCCCAATACAAATATAACTATTACTAGAGGCCCGGTGCACAAAAATTTGTGCACTGGGAAAGGGGGGCATCCCCTCAGCTTGGCCTGTGCCCTCTTGCAGTCTGGGACCCCTCGGGGGATATCCACCTGCTGGCTTAGGCCCACTCCCCCAGGGATCGGGCCTAAGCTGGCAGTCAGACATCCCTCTGGCAGCCCGGGAGCCCTCGGGAATGTCCACTTGCCAGCGGGGAGCAGGCCTAAGCTGCAGTTGGACATCCTTAGCGCTACTGAGGAGGCGGGAGAGGCTCCCACCACTACTGCTGTACTGGCAGCCATCAGCCTGGCCTGTGGCTGAGCAGACTCCCCCTTGTGGGAACACCCTGACCACCAGGGGGCAGCTCCTGCATTGAGCATCTGACCACTGGTGGTCAGTGTGTGGTGGGGGGGGTCCCACTGGGGTCCCTGGCTAGCCTGGGTGAGGGGCTGATGGCCGTTTTCAGGCTGGCCACTCCCCTCAGCAACCCAAGCTCACAGCCTCTCCTTTTTTTCTTTTTTTTTTCTGGGATTTATTTATCTTCTATAATTGAAACTTCGTAGACTTGAGTGGAGCTGAGGGCCAGCCAGGGTGGGCAGGAAGCTTGGCTTCCTCCATTGCCGGGGGCAACCCAAGCCTCCTGCTCTCTCCAGCTCCATGGCCACCGCCATCTTAGTTGGGTTAATTTGCATACTCACTCCTGATTGGCTTTGTGGGTGTGGCTTGAGCATAGCAGAGGGATGGTTAATTTGCATGTTTCTCTTTTATTACATAGGATGAGCAATTGTCATATTTTCTTGAGCACTTTATGAACATACTAACTATATATATATTTTTAAATATAACAGAACTTGATTTTATCATTTAGCAACTCTGATATCCTTGGTTTCATCATTATTAATCCTTTTATGATGATTTAAAAACTCCGATAGGGTTTTTCCCCCCAAAAAAACTAGTCTTTACTTTACTATTTCAGCAGAGACAAAGGAGGAATATAAATTACTCCTAGCCAGCCTGTTTCTTCTTGTGAAAATTGCCTTTCTCATTGCCTCTGTTGTAGTGAAAATGAAATTAAAGTCTTGTCTTTCTATTTTTTTCTTCCTATAAGTGGTCAAGACCGTTCTACAGTTGTCAACAGTCTTCTCTGCTTTGTGTTTTGAAGTGAGCAGAAGGAACATTGTTTCACATTAAGCAATACTTTCTTTTTAGGGGAGAGAGAAGTACTAGTAAATGGAATTGACTCATAAAAACAGATATGGCATAGAAAAATAATATAAACCTCAACACCAAAAGGAAAAGAAAACTATATAATTCAAAGTAATTTTTCAGATGCAGCATCTCCCACTTTTGGTATTAGTTCAATAAAGGTTTATAAATACACATATTTAAGGTACGGCAATTTCCACAGGGAAATTTGCTGGTAGTTGTGTTCCTTATAAAAAACATTTAAAAATGCAAACCTAAGATGTTTAAAACTTTTTGCAAAAACTTTTTAAGTAAAAAAGTTGAAAATCTTGCATATACTTTAGCAGTTTGAGGAAACATTCAAAAGAGAAACTCTTTTTAAATTCATTTTTAAAATATTTACTTTATAAATGACCCATAACTAGTTTTACCATGTAAGATTAGTACTTAAAGAAGACTACCAAGGAGAAATTATATAGTAAACAGTCCCAAGACCAAAATTGTTTCAATCTAGCTTGTTCTATTTTTATTATATAAAAGTGTAAAAACTAATATTTGTATAAAAGTAATAGATATCTGTGTTAGAATTTGATTGAGGCCTAAAACATATCTTTTTTGCCAATTTACATAAATTTATTGTAAAAAGCCATAATTTTAAAATACTAAAATTTTGACTGCTGGGGACAAATTTAGAACTACCTAATTTCTGGTATATTTAGACCTGTTCCACTATAGTTCAGAGGCTTAAAAGGAAACGAGTTCTCCTTGTCATCCTAATAGTAATTTGAGATCCTCAAAAAGGATATATAACTCCTACCTTTATTGACTTGAATGGGCCTTGGATTGAAATGGAGAAGAAACGATGGGTAATAAAGTGAATTGAAAATCCCAGAACCAACACAAACCACAGCTGTTTCGTCTTGTTTTCTTAAACCCAAAAATGTTGAAATCATATCTATAAACAGGTACTGCTTCTGAGGACATGCTTGGTTTTCTTGCTGGGGATTTGTTTTCCTCCTGATGACTAACAAGAAGAAAGGAGCTAACTTCACAGAGTTAAATGATGAGGCAGAAATGGGAAATTAAGTATGACTTTGGAAATGCTGGTACAGCAAATTCAGAGAACTATAACTCAACATTTTTGTTAGATCTGAGGTGCTGGTGATTCTCCTGTAACTCCTCACTGTTATAACTTTACAAATCACTCCTCCCATGTCTTAAGACAAAAAAATGTATAAAGAGACAAGGATTTCCTGCTTTAAAGAAAAGATAATAATAATAATATCCTGCATTTGTTGAGGCAGGAGATCAAGATTGGGTGGGCTTATATACATATCATTTTTCACCCATTAAAGTAGCAAAGATTGTTTTAAATAAGATTACTTGATGTTGGCAAGTGTACTGACATGAACATGCTTATACACTCTGGTGGGAACATAAAATGGCACAGTCCTTTTAAGAACTTGCAGTATTTATCATGAACCATAAATATCCCTTGAATCCAGTAGTTTCTCACCAAAAAAAAATTTTTTTTCATTATCATATACTTAAAGTAAGTGCCCAATAATTAGGGGGTGCCTAAATAAATAATGGTAAACACATAAAAGAATGCTGTCTAGATCTTTTTAAATAACTAGAGGCCCAGTGCACAAAATTTGTGCACTGGCAGTGGAGAGGGGGGGTTCCCTCAGCCTGGCTTGCACCCTCTCGCAGTCCGGGACTCCTCACTCCTTACCACCCGCCTGCTTGCTGCTCCTGTTTGGCTCACTGCTCCTTAGCCCTGCTGCAGAGGCAGGAGAGGCTCCCCCCACAGGCACTGCACTCGCCAACCATGAGCCTGGCTTCTGGCTGAACGGCGCTCCGGGAGCGCACTGACCACCAGGGGGCAGCTCCTGCGTTGAGCGTCTGCCCTCTGGTGGTCAGTGCACATCATAACAAATGGTCGTTCTGGTTGTTCTGCCATAACGGTCGTTTAGGCTTTTATATATAGATGCTTATGATGAGTTTGTGTAACATGGAAAGATGTATGTTTCTAAAGAAAGGACTAAAAAGTCTTGAAGGAAATGTAGTGGAATTGGGAATTTTTGTATTTATCTTCATTTTCTTTTCAGTATTTGTCAGTTTAATTATGTGAGAGCAAAAGATGAGGCCAACAGAAGGTAAAATGATAGTTGTCCTTCCCTCCTTCCCACCCTCCCTCCCTCTGTCTTAAAAAAAATCGCTAAGCATATCCTCAGGTTAGGATTAAAAATACATAAATACATACATACCTAAGGATTGAGAAAGAGCCTTTGGATTGGGTAAGAAAACGTCAGTGACTCTTTAGAATTCAGTTTCATTCAGACGAGTTAAGCAGCAGCAGGAGAAAATAGAAACAGTAGCATACACGTTTTCTTCTATAGGAGTGAATTGAAGAGGAAGGAACTAACTCAGGGTTAGGAAGATCAAAGCAGGGCTTTTCAGTTTGCATAAACTTGGTAATATTTTAAGCTAGTGTTTCTGTGGAGTACTTGTCTCTCATGGGTCTCCTCTCTCTCTCTCTCTCTCTCTCTCTCTCTCTCTCTCTATTTACTTATTGTCTAAATCTCCTGTCTCTTTTGCTGTTCCTTCTGTTCTCCCCAGCCCTTTCATAGTGGAATGTATTCTTCCACATCTATACTCACTGCCTTGGTGATTGTGCTGCAAAGTCTTCCATTTGCCCCTCCAGGTCCACTCCTCTTCTACCTGCTTTCTCTCCCAGGAGCATGACCTGCATGGACTATATCACCAAGCTTCCCAGGATGCTGGAGGGAAAGAAGGAGGAGAGTGAGATGGGAGCATTTGTCCCCTTAGCTCCCAGTCTGCAGGCTCACTTCAGTCTGGTTGAATTTGACTGAACGTCACTGCTCCTCACAAGTCAGCCCTCTATGGGACTCTCTCCTTCTGGGCCTGGTAACCACTTCCTCTCCTAATCTCTTTAGGCCTAGGTGTGGAAACAGGGTATCATACTCTATTTCCCCCTGTGGTTTCCCTGAACTCTTGCCTACGCCTTTATAAACTGTCCTTTTATTAATCCTGTGCCATTCATTTCCTGCTGGGACCCTGACTGATCTTACCCAGTCTCTTGATTTTAAATATCAACTGCATGCCAACAATTCCCAAATTTATAGTTCCAGCCCAGACCTATCTCCTGAACTGCAGACTCATATCTGGCTGCCTACTGGACTTGATTGTCTAACATATATCTTAACTTACTGATCTTTCCTCCTAAACCTGTTGATGGCAACTCTATTTTTCCAGTTGTTTAGGACAGAAGTCTCAAAATCATCCTCAATGTTTTTCTTACCCTCCTCTTATCCAATCTGTCAGGATATCTGAGTAGGTCTTCTTTTAGTAGAGAATCTAACCACTACTCACCACCTCCTCTCCTATCGCCCTGGTTCAACTACTTTAACTCTCATCTGTAATAACCACCCAGTTGATCTTCCAGCTTCTGCCCTAACCTTTTTCACCCTATTTTCAACATAGTGAGAATGATTAAAATGCATGTTAGATCATGTCACTCCTCTGTTTAAAACTGCCCAATGGCTTCCTATTTCAGCATAAGAGCCAAAGTCCTTAGGATACCTAAAAGGCTCTACACCATCTGCCTCCCACACCTTTTCCTTTATGACCCCATTTTCTAGTCGTTCCCCCTATTACCCTGTGCTAGTCACAATGGCTTCCTTTACTGCTTTAACAGTATTCCCTCTGTCAGGAGTGCATCTCCCACATCTGCATGACTAATTCCCCCACATCCTTTAAGTCTTCATTCAAATGTTGTCTTTATGAGGCTTACCCTAACCACCTTATTTAGAATTCCCTGGCACTCCTGATCCATTTTCTCTTACTCTCATTCCTTTTCTGCAACACTTAACATCTACTAAACTAGAGGCCCGGTGCACAAAAATTTGTGCACTTGGGGGTATGGGGGGGTCCCTCAGCCCTGCCTGTGCCCTCTCGCAGTCTGGGACCCCTCAGGGGATGACCACCTGCTGGCTTAGGCCCGCTCCCCAGGGGGATTGGGCCTAAGATGGCAATCAGACATCCCTCTGGCAGACCGGCAGCCCTCGGGGGATGTCCACTTGCCAGCGGGGAGCAGGCCTCAACTGCAGTGGGACATCCTTAGCGCTGCTGAGGAGGCCGGAGAGGCTCCCCCCCTAACCCCTG